TGATCATGATTTCCAGACATTTTATAGAACTACAGGAATCCATCGAAGGCCGATAATTAATAAAGGCAAGAGCATGGATATGTGGAAGGACAGAGAATCTAATACAGTAACCCATATTTTTGATTGCCATTATTTAGCAAAAAAGAAAATCGCTTTCGCAAGGCGTGTGGAAGATGAAGACTGATCAAGTGAAATAAAACTCACAATTTCCGCCTGAACTGGTACCACATCTCTCGTTTGCTGCAGTGAGTCAGCGCTTCTAGTAATGCATATTATAATAGTTAGATTTATACCCAGAGTGTTAATTACGCAATGGCAGAGACTGTGGTGAATATAGTCTAATCACTGGACTAATTTCTAACGTCTCATTCCACTCAAAGGTTTGCTCCTTAATTCGACCTTTCCTGATTGCATATTTATACCTTAAAAATAGTATAGGTCAACAGTAACATACCAGGTTGATCAAGCGTAGCAACATCTCGGTGAAGCCAAAACATACCAGAGAGAATTTATCTGTGCAAGTCTTTATTTAAATATCAACAATTCATTGATCAAACAAAATTAATAACAAATGAATAGCAATACTTCACCTCTCTCTCCCTTTATTTTTGCGTCTTTTACCACGAGGCATGTCGAAATGTCAATCTCAGTTATCTGGACTATTCTTTTGAATGCTGCGGTAAAGGAAGAAAAACTGCATGATTTTTTGTTAAATCTGCGAGAATGAGGTAGCCAAGAATTTTTAAATAATAGAGTCATCTCGACAGCTACCATTTTTTTTTTTTTTTTTTTTTTTTTTTTTTTACACTGAACAGAAGCGATAATCTGACCGTGAGTTTGAACGCTGTTGACGGTCTGCCGCTTAGCGCTAGCGTAAAACTATGATTCAAGGGAGCGGATTATGACGGCACCTACAACTTGAATGTTGTTTCACGGCATCGAGACAAACACAAGAATCTGAACAACTCACCCGTGGTAAAAAGGCATACCACTATTATAAATTTGAAAATTTACATTCTAGGTGAGTAAGAAGCCTACGGGGTTGATGTGGCTACAAGAAAGGGCAAGCCCCAACTAGTTTAAGTCACATTTAAATTCCAGAGAAGTGACTACTTAAATGAAAACATTGTGGTGAAATAAAATAGCAAAATGGCGTAATTTCTTTGTGCTCTAAGATAACTTTGGTCTAGCTGTGTTTTTACCTTTTCATCCGGAACTGATCTTGTCTTATTTTCTATAATCAGTGAGAATCGCTCCGTGGTGCACTTTTCGCTTTTCGCTTTCTCTACGCCATTGCCACAAAGTAAACATCTCTTGACGAGGAAGTGGTATTCATTTGACGGGTGAATATTATCGAGTCGGCTTTCAAATAACGAAGTTGGATGACTAATTTTCTTCCAGACAAAAACATATTCCTGTAGTATCTTCTAGTCACTTCGTTTGTTTATCTAAGGGACGAATCGTCAGCGATAATTTCACAACAGACAAGCCGCAATGTCTCATTTGCATTCAGACCTTGACTTGAATATCGTTACTTGATTGAATAGACAATCATTCTACTTACCTGTAATTCATCGATCGCACTTCACTGCGTGAACAACTATCTTTGCTTGGTGCTTCGGAGTAGAGACGACAACGTTTCGGCGGACTGAGATTTACGTAACTCAACAAACTTCAACTCCGTCACGATAAAATAGAATCACCAAGAATTACGTCACAGAATGTTGGTTCTCGGGAAAAACAAAATATTGCTTTTCTGAGAAAACTTACCAACCACGTGTCTTTATCTGCTGGCTGAGTTACGAATACACTCACTAACCGTGTATCTCATTAAGGAAACGCGGGTCTGAGATATAACAACCCAAGTGCCAATACGAATTATCATATTTTTGATACTGTTTGTGTTAAGAAATAAATTTTAGATTCTTGTAATTCAAGCAATTTTCCATTTCTCGGAACTGATACGACCTTTTCGTGTGTATTTACATATTCATCAATTCCCGGAAAAACCACAGGTAACCGGAAATATTTTGGGAACTCAAGTACTTTGATTAAACATAAAAGATATTAACATGTCACGACAAACGATCGACGATAAACGAATATTGGGCAGACGGTAGATTTTGTGACGGAAGATGATCACGAAATTCAAAATTGTCACGTAATTTTTTCCCCCCAAACATTTAAATTTTTTCCCCCCAAACATAAAAAGTTCTTTTAACACAAGTTAAAAGCTACATCGTCAAACGTTCTCACATGTGCATTTTATTGTGAACAGAGCTACCATATCCTTTGAACAAGAATGTAAACTGAAAGGAAAACAAAAAGAAAAACAAAAGAAAAGAAAACGCAAGACTCAGAAAAATTTGACGTGACAGGACAGGACCCGAACCTTATGCATTCGGTAACATATCCACAGCGCTAAGTAAGCAGAGAGCAAAGAAAGTGGCGAAGTTCGGTAAAGAAATAAAATTTGATGCACATTTAATACATTTACCTGGCCTGTGAATTGATCAGTGTACAAGCTCTGTTTACTTAGCGTATCTTTTTTAACACAAGACACCATAACTGTACCAAAGTAGGCACTGTTGAAATTTAGGAATTTAACATTTCTCGTTGTTCCACAGGCGTCCCAAGCTCACGTTTCGAGAAAAAGCAAACGATTAATTTATGAAAGCGTCACGCACTACGTGATGCAGTGTCAAGCTACGCGAGAAACGGTTGAGAATTAGAACACGTTATAAGGAATAGTAAAGGGAAATTAATATAGTCGATTTACAACGCTTACTTACCGGTAAGATTAATAGAAATTACTCGCTCAACCAACGGTCCAAACCGAGGAAAGGAGTAGTGGAAGTGTTAGTTAGCGTGGGGGGTGTAGTGGGTTATGTCGTAGGATGGCTTGCTTGCGGAATGAAGGCAAACTGTCAAAGGCATGGTTAAATAGATGAGAATGGTGTCGGAGCGCTAATCGCCGAGAGCCTCAATCAGTTCAAAGGGAACACCGGGTTGGTAAGCAAATGATGCCCCACCGCTGCGAAAGGGGTGCCCCGCGTAAAGCTTTGGGTCAAAGCCGAGCGACGCAAAATTATTGTGAAGAAGAGAAACAAAAGATCCATAAGGAAAAACTTGAACAAGCTGGCGTTCAACCGACCAAAGAGCTCCTGCTAAACCCGAGACCGTAAAGCGAAGTGCGTTGACGATGGCCGCCTTTGGACATGATGGAGAGCGTGGAATGCGGTAAAGTGGGATTTCTACAACGCGCTCACGAAACTGAATGGTCTTACTCCAACGACTGGTTATGAGAACACCTCAGGGAAAGATTTTAAAATCAGCCCTGGTTGGTTGCTTACGCGGGTCAAAGGAGGTCGGCGGCACGGGTAAAAAGGTGGGATTTCCGAAACATGCCATAAAAGGCAGGCCAAACTCCTTGTGAAGAATACCTATGATGTTCAGGCAGCTTCGAACGGAGGCAGCTTTGAAACTACGAGCTAAGAAAGCAGCGTATTGCAGCAGGTGATCAGGCTGAACTGGGGTGTAACCCACGTAGAGGCAGAACCTCAAGTAGGTGTCGCAATGAGTTTTGTAAGTTGCTTTAGTGGATTCTGCGTAGAGCTGAGACCGATACTTAGTAATTTCCTGATATAATTAAGATGCAAACCGTTCAGTTTCTTTGGGAGATTAATAAATAATAAATAAATAATAACAAAATTGATCACCGCGGAAATAACCCCCTGCTGCGAGAGAGCACGTTGGTCGGTATGTAGGAGGAAGGCTTATAAAAATTGTACCCACCATGCGATATCACGGTAAAAGGAGGGAGCTAAACGATGTTTAGCACCCAAGGGAAGGGAATTCATGGTGTCAAGGACGCGGCGAAGAAACCTACGTCCGCCGTAAACAACTCTGCACACCTGCCAGTCGCTGCAATTGATTTTTGGAAGCGTGCCGCAAGAAATTAGAAACTATGGTCTGGCAGTCGTGAAGTTTCTCCTGTGGCAGCACCATGCTACACGGGACTGTATCCAGTTCTACACTCAGAAAGGTTGATGCGCCAGTGGGTGGCACGAGTTTACGCTGACTAATAGTAAAGCCTGAATCCTGCAGCAATTGTAGCAAGACTTTTCAGGCATGGATGCATTCCGCCTGCGTAGCACCAATGACAAGGAAATCATTGAGATAAACGATAATGTTCACAAAACCTCTCTTTCCCATCATGCGTTGAACAGCCTGTGTTAGACGATGAAGATTTCAGGAGAGCTTTAAGCACCGAATTGAAGGCAAGTGTCGTAAAAATAACTATCAAAATCGTCCACCGAAAACGGCCACTTGCAGCCTTTAGCCTGATAATTTTCGGGGTTGATGGGTATTGACCGGTAAGCATGTTTGAGATGTATTTTAGCCATGAAATAATTAGGTTTTAGGAGTTTGATAGCGTCATCCAGTGACTAAAATTTGAAATACCGCGTGCTGATAAAATCATTGACCGCATGCCAGTGTGGTCGAGAGCAATCATGGATAAGCCGTTCCTCGGAATTCGAAGAGTTCTGTCCCTAACACGTTTACCACCGTAGGTTTCGTGGCCGTAATAACGTAGTTGCCTTGCTGAGTTTCGTCGCGAATGTTTTTCCACCAACAATTCAGTGGTGGGATTAGTGGCCCATTTATAATTCCGCATATTTACTTCGGTGAATTGCGTATTAGGGTCCGCCAATTGAGAGACGTTAATAATGCCATCTACCAAAAAAGCCTCGTCGTAGCCGCCCGCGAGTTTGTGTTGTCCAAGCTTTGGGTTAAGCGGTGAATTTCGCCCCTTGAACTCTTAAAGTTGCGGCAAATAGTACGCCCATCACTGGTGAAGACCTGAAAGTAGGGAGGGTTTGATAGATAGGTTCTAAAATAATGGAATGGAGGTGATTATAGTCGAAAATCCACGGATAATTATACGTCGCCTGTAAGAGGCGAAACTCGTCATCGCACTTGATCATCGAGACTCACTGTTAACGGTTTGAAAGTTTCATTATCTTGATTGTGTAAGCGAAATAGTTTTGCACATCATGTGCCATAGTTAGTTTGTTACTGGATGGAAGATTATAAAAAGTCCTAGTATTTCCAACCACCCACTGCGAAATTTAAACCTGCACTAAATGGGGCTTTTTTGGGCCATATGACACTGCTAATTTGGTGTTTCTACCGTTCGTTCTTCGTCCTGAGGGACAATGTTGTCTAGAAAGTCAACATTTCTTAAAGCTTTCTCACCCTTTTGAAGCTGGGCTGGCCTCAGAAACATCTCCGACGCTCGTGAATCTAGCCAGGCGTTGGATGGTTGACTTGGGGATGCCTGAGGATTGCTTTTAAGCGGCAGGTAGTATGTGGTCAGGTTAAGAGTTCCATCCAATGAAGTTGTTAACGCTTCGCTTGGAAGAAGAGAACGCAGATACTTGACATTCGACAGACCAGCTTGCTCTGGTAGCTCACTCGCGACCAACTTGGTCCATTTCTTTTCTATCTGCCTTTAGATAGAAGCTATACGTTTTTGCTTGGCTTGCCACTGTTCTTCCAGGTCTAGCTCGGCCAACTCCTGTCCAAAGTCTGCAATTTGTTGGTCTTCATCATGGCCGGCAACCGTGGCGTTCTGCCTGTTTTTATGCGCAATTGGAGAACTGATCTCCTCTCCTTGATAGAATTTGCTGGGAAATACCCAGCCATGCTCGGTAATCGGGGTTCCACAGCCTGCGCATTTAGACACCCTCCTCTCCAGTTGTGAATTATTTGACATAATTAAACGATGAAACTCAAAACTAAAACTTTATCAAGCTAAAAATGTTGCTTGTTGCCTTCTTGCTTACTTGATTGCTAATCACACGTGCACAGATACGTAAGCGGTAATATACTAAAGTAATTTTGCGATTAAAACGCGTCAGCGAGGTGAAAAGCCATTGGCTCCATCTATGCTCAGTCATAAGAGAAAGGTTAATGCGCACCCTGCCTGTACCTGGTCTAGACCTTTCAGTTACTTTCACTAAAGTAATTTTGCGATTAAAACGCGTTAGCGAGGTGAAAAGCCATTGGTTCCATCTATGCTCAATCATAAGAGAAAGGTTAATGCGCACCCTGCCTGTACCCAGTCCAGACCTTTCAGTTATCGATGTCTAGATTCATATTAATAGGGATTAATATTAATTATAAGGAATAATATGGGGAATGAAATATAGTCGATTTACAACTAAATATTCCGCAATACGAACATTTTAGCCGTAAGATTAATAGAACTTAATCACTCCTTGTGTTTCCGCTGTAGTTTCTGGTGTTCTCTGCCGTTTTAAGCTTGCTTTGCCATTACTGTTCTTCCTGTTTTAAGACGGAGTCCGTTTACCGTCTACTGACCATCGTATACCATCTGTCGTCTATCGTCTTTGTTTGAGTACATGCCAACGGCACCCAGGCATATGACTAGAGCATTTAAGGGCCATGTTTTCAGTCATTGCACCTATTGCAGGATATTTATCATATAAACTACGGTGCTATACAGGGATTTCTAGCCCTGCGATAAGCCGTAACAACACACGTGAAAAATACGATATTTTTTCACGTCTTTGATGTTGCTGCTGACACGTCACGCGCCTTCCGCACCACTCGGCTAGGTTGATGAATGAACGGCAAAGCTTTTACCACTCTATCCAAGGTCGTTTATCAGTGTTTTTTTCGGATTATGAGAGCTAAAAAACTGAAAATTTCGTACCGCTTACAGTCGGTGATGTTCAAACTTACTTAGAAAGGGAAGAAAACCAAAATACGAAAAGAAAACAGAAAGTTACGTATGTAGTGGCTTTGGTAATGGCATTTCTTGAGGCTGAAAACGAAATCGACAACTGGAAGATTTGCCACAGGCCGATTTGGCCGTGTACCTAAAAGATTTCTTATGTCGGTAAGGAACAATTCAATAAATGAGAATTTGTACATTGAAAATTGGGCCCATTGTTTGCTTCTGTAGTGATTCAACGCATGTTTTTTATCTTGAGTGCGCCAACGTACTTTACGATTTATATTCGGGGATTGCCGATCCTTTTATTTCCATTCGTTGAAAAAGTTTTCTTTTCTTGTCATTAAAGGGCTATTGTGTTTACATGATAAACAAAATAATACATGGTTACTTGTAGACATGAAATTTCTCTTCTCGTATTCAAACCGAGATCTCACTCGTGAGCTATCGAGTTAAACACTCGAAGAGACATTCCAGATCTACGCGTGCCCATGAATTATTCTCTGAATACTGGCAGTAATTATGAACAAGTTGCGTTGAAAAATGTGCAAATCCAACTTCAAATCAGGACTAAGATAATTAAAGAGATACAACCGTTAGAGAATGATCAAATTATATGTAATAGAAAAACCACAAATGTTTTCCTTTAAAAGTACAATTATACTTCAAACAAAATCACAAACGGACGCCTGGAAAGATTCTTTCAATAACACTTAATTACTTCCATAACATTATCGACACACGACTTTAGTATAGTTGTTAAATAACCACACAATTTCCATGCCTTTATCAGGAGCTTTAGGTTGTTTAAAGTACGTTACTCAGTCTTTCTACGACCTTTCTTTGTTTGATAATTTCTGTCTGGCATTAAGTTGAGGCTGTCTATGGCTTGATTTCGGAAAATACACTGTTTAATATTTTACCTACGCGATAGTATTTGGAGTAAAATCATTGTTTTGGAACCCATTTTAAAGTTTCTTTGACTTTCTGATGCTTTACATGTTCCACGTTGGATAATATGTTTATTTCTTCGGCCATGTAGATTCATTGACCACGCAGTGTCTTTTTTCGAAGGATTCTATCAAGTCCTTCCACATGGAGTGATGTTGAAGTAAGTTCTTGTTACCTTAAAGCAACAAAAATAAAAAAAGCTGACGTGAAAATCAGAAAATCAGAAAGCAGACCTATTTTTAAGTTGTTTCACTTAAGATTTCATTCATCTTTACCGGGAAGAGAGGATCCACAAAATTTGGAAAAATATAGAAATTGCAAATCTCTTGCAAATGATCGTCCCTAATTCGATTTTTATTAATAGACTTGCTTAGAAGCTTAAGCAGTTCACATAATGAAAGAACACAATGAAACACTACCGGTAGGTGAGTAATCAGATACATAATAATGGTAAGATATCAACACAAACATTTCGTGGAGAAAGACAAAATAGATAATGTTGTGATATTCTTTCTTTCTTACCGATAATGCAAAGCCCTTTGCACGCTCTTGTTAGCCCTACGTTCATAAGATGCTCGTCTGCTAAAAATCCCAGATGTTCACGGACCCAATACATTGATGGCTCTGCGTCGAGATCATCATCACTCATGGAACGCACCAGAGATAATATGACGTAATCCCATTCAGTTCCTGAAAAAGGATCGAATTTGAGATTGATCTTTTATGTATGTGGAGTGTCCATTACATTGTTTCTCTCTCATATCTAGGATCTATGAAATTATTCGTATTGGCTTAACAAAAACAATGAATAATCAAGATAAAAAAATCCACCGAAACCATCAACAAGTACGACAGAAACAGACACAAAAACGTGTGCAGGGTTCTCATTAGGTGCCGACCGCCGTCCAAATAAAGAGCTACCCCAATTTCTGAGCCGCCCTCTCTTCATTAAATCCTGTGGGTAGGTTGTGAACGATAAGGTGTAATAAAAATTAAAACAAGTCACTGCTACAAAACTTTTCATGAAGAGATAGCTTTCCTGAAAGCCATTTTCGCATTCCACAAGAAAAACAAATGCATTTAAATAACCTGGCTGGTTGAGCACTCTTCAAATCTTTACCTGGCACATAATAACTTAACCAAGCAACTGACATATTGATTTGTACATACTTCCGAAAGAATGCATAAAATAGAGGATATTTTTAGAAAAATTCGTATCCCCAGGTGGCCATGTAGTGTTCTGTTTGTTTTATAGATACTGATGAAATTCCTCCATAATTTCAAAAGAACCGGCCGCGCGCCTGAGCGAGAAGCTCTCTTGTAATTGGCTAATCATGTAAGTAACCATGGCGACACCAATATCCTCTTGCTTGGAAGATAAAAATAGTATCTTCACTGCGCGAGATGAAGATATGATTTTTTAATAAAAGGAAAAATCATGGTATTTTATCAGTATCTATATAATAAATAGCATTTCAGAGCCTCTACATATGTGACCCGTCTACTCCTAGCAGCTAGCCATCGACTCCCCGACTTTTAAAGAATCCTGCCCTATACAAAAGACTTTTTCTATGGCACATGATATAAGCATTATTCTGGGTGATAAACAGATAACATTATTATACATTTAACTCATTATCTCTTTTCTGATTGGCCGAAAGCGTAAAGTGAATTTTCGAAATCAGAACCCGGGACGTCATCTAGCCGCAGATTATACAATAATCTTGTCAAGAATACTCAAGGTCACAGGTAATCATGTCATGTATATATGACCATGATGCATGATTTCTATGTGTAATCATGTCAAGTTCGAGCGCTTTGTGTTGCTTGCCGTCAGTGAAGAAGCAAGAACATGACTTTCAGGTTTGCTTCGTTGACCGAGCAGTTTCCGATAACTGTTAGGGTCACATAAAACAGAAGATATATAATGATAGACGACGATGGTAAAAGAAACAAAAGTGGCTTTACCTTGACTCTTTGCGATAGTTGTAACGCAGATATCTTTGCACTGTGATGTTTCAGCCAGCGCTTTTCTTATTCTGGCCTGCTGTTCTTTATAAGGTGATAGAATAGCGATTTTTGACGAGGACACCCCTCTATTCTTGATAAGGCATTTCGCCACGTGCACCTGATAGAAAAGGTATATTCATAAGAGCTAACGTCGGATGTCATCAACAACTAAGAAATTCAAGTTATTCAAGGTCACTGCTTGGTTTACACGAGTTTAAGAGCAACGTTGTGATTTATAGGAATAAGGCTAACTCTAGGTACATATCTAGCTCTTTATTAGATGATTCCATGATGATATCACTCCATATTTTTCTCCGAAACATCTATGAATTGTTCTCTTTAATCCCTCATGGAGATTTTCTTATGGTCGAAATATTATAAGCTTGCCGTTTTGCGTGGATTAAAAGCCACTCCATGTTTCCCCAAGAAACACCTTTTGTGCTTAACTTGGACTTAATCTCTCTCTCGGCAGAGACTGAACTATACTTACTGCTTTTCTGACTTCTTTGACGTTGGCTTTGGACTGCTCATTGCTGAGTGCTGTCTTAATGACGGTAATCTCTTCCTCCCCAACAACATGACAAAATGCTATGGGAACGTTTGCAACAGGCCAGAAAGATTGCAGAGCGGTACCCTTTTCCTTCACTAATGAATCCGTTTCCAGCTGGTTATTATAAAAGTACTCTGAGGGAAATTTGCATATTTCTTCGTGCTATAAATATGATACAAAGTCGTAAGTATAAAGCAGCCATATTTTAATTTGCCAATCACTACCTTTGTTCTGACATTTCTTAAAATTTGTTATTATATAAATTCCTTTTTAGATAGAATATGAAATTAATTTCCAATTATAATACTAATAATAGTTAAAAGGTAATACTAATGATAATGGTGATGACAATTATGGTCATTAAAAAGTAATAATTAACAAGAACCTTTAAAGAAAAAATTCTGCAGAAAGAAAGATTGCATGACCACACAAAAATCTCCCATTGACCGTTTAGAAATCTGAGTAGGAATAATGAAAAGAAAATGGATTACAGTCGGCTTGATTTCATGGATCTGATCTTCTGGACTTTCATCACAGGGGCAGAAGGGATGCAGGAAATCTACAGAGCTTTGACTCATATGGTTATTATGACAAAAGTGGTGCTCGAGTGTAGATATCAACAGAGGAAAATTTGATGAAAAAGAATCTAAAACCGATTCACGACCGGCAACTCTGTGGAGTGCTGCTATCAGTACTCGCTGATAAAAAGTGAAAAAACAATTTGAGCACAGATAAGTGTTTGAGGTACAGTGACCTTGAAGCGCCAAATTATACGAAGAGAACAATTACCGAATGGAAACTTTGGCAGCTTAAGCATTCTCTAGTGCAGATTTAGTATATAGTTAGGAAGTTACCTTTCGCATTCTCATTACATGATACAACCCCTCGTAATTTGACCTTCTCCTCTAAACCTATGTGTCTCAGGATTCATGATTACACAGAAAATCAAGCCAATCTTTGAAATATTCGCGGTACACCATAACAAAGCACTGCGGAACGTTCACGTTTGGAATAAGTAACCGTAACATGTAGAACTGAAAACACAAATGATTACAATTTACCATTCTATATTGAAGCTGTAGCATCTTGGCTTGGCCAGAAAGCCTTTCAAACATTGAAACTTGAAAGCCTAGATTTTGTGCCTTTTTGTCATGAATGACGGGCTGTAATTGTTTGTGATCACCAATCAATACCACTTGCTGCGGTGCTAAGAACGCGATTGGTAAGAGTGACTCCAGTTCCATGCACATACCACATTCATCCACAATACACTGCTTGATATTGTCTTTGCATGATTTCATTAAACTAGACTTGACAGAAACTGCGCATGTGCACAGGATAACCTGCACACCTGACGACTGAAATGCCCATGTCTCGGCCTGTTCAATAAGCTGAGCGGTAAAAACGATAAAACAAACAAAATCGCATGAGTAACAATAAATACATAATTCTAGCATACGAAAACAGCAAAATTGTTAAGTTTGAAAAACATGTTTCGATACCGTCATGTTATCTTCAGTTGCAAATGGTCATTGTACAATTTGAATCACTCAAACCTTACATAAATGTTATGTATTTACTAGGTAAGATTACACTACAAAGATACGTAAACAATTGATCAAAATACAACGGCAGTACAAAACTACAGAAGGGGAAAAGTGGTATTATGAAAAATCCCAGAATAAACAAAGCAATACCGACAATAATGTGAAAAAAAGTAATAAAATGAAAAAAAATGACAAAAGTAATACTAATGATAAGAAAACTACTGAAAAGAAAGAGAAAATTCTAAATATTTCGACTGTCTACTTAGAGTTGGATTCTCGTATTTACTATACATGGCCATTTTTATCTTTCTTAAAAAAAACTGAAGCAGAACAATCAAAAATCGTGAGAGATTCTGCAGAGGATGTGTTAGGACAAGCCTAATAGTGTTTGTTACTCTACTTTTTCTCCGATCATAAAATACGTAATTATACGAAGCTCTACAAAATCAAATGATTTATACTGAAGAACAACTTAAGCTTATAAATGGGCCTTAGAGCGTCCGGTGGCAAAATAATTTTTAATGCTTAATGCGACTACATCAAGAAAAGATCACCATACGCGACTTTGCACCACTTCTATTTGGCAACAATATTACTTACCTCACGGTAGCTGTCTACGTGTTCATCTTCGGTCCTTAAACCTTTCTTCTTATCTTGATCAAATTTTCTTTCATATTCCTTGAGCTCATAAGCGAATGGACACGCATCTGCACGAATGACGTGGTGTAGCGCCACTTTTTTCAATTTTTCATCCAATTCTTGAGCTTCATCATCGTTGTTGAAACTTCTCAGAGGTTTAGGTTTGTTAGGAAGTGGAAACTCAGCCTGCTCCTTTAAATCGCTATAGACTCGAAGAATTTTGAGTCCAGGAATAGGGAGCATAATTTCTTGATAGAGAGGAAAGATAACATAGTATATAGATGTATAAATAAATGAGATGAAATAAAATAAAACGAATAAATTAAAATGAAACTAAACAAAATATCAAATATGTCAGTGACTGTTATTTGGCAAGTTTAAAATTGTGATTTATTGTTTTTAAGAGTCCTTTTTGAGTAGATTTTCTTTCATCGTCAAGGGAGCAAATGTCAAGTATTCCCAAAGGTACTAAATGGGAACATGATTAATAGAGTTTCATCACAACAATATAGATACCCATAATACCACCAAAGCCGAAAAGGTTGGGAAGTTGCAAAAGCAGCATGCATTTTGACGCCATGTGATAGAACTTCAATCCAACTTCCATTCACTGCCTGGTATCGTTTAATTTATTCAAATTCTATCACATGACCAGAATTTAGTTCCCAGCTAGCGTTTGAAATGATATCATAGACTGGATAACCTTCTTCTAAGCTTTGGAAACGGATGATGGTCTTGTGCTATGGGCAGTGAACACCTTGGTTTCATTGGCATCAACTCTGCAAAGTTTAAGGGTGTCTTTGGTCCAACTCAAAGCTGTTTTTCTTGAGACATGATTCTGTGACTTAACATAACTAATAAGGAATTTGTTTCATCTTTACATTTGTTTCGTTAGTGTCTGCTTTGCAACATGTTACTTACTCGCCACTACATCAATGGACTTATTAGAGGGACCGCAGTAAATGACTTGTGATGATGGTATTAATTTGTCTGCATTGTCTGATTCAACCGGGTTCTGATCTGGTTGTGAAATAGTTGTCTTGTTTTGATATGCGAACCAGTAGGCTATATGAGCGCCGGTCACTGTCTTTCCAGTACCTGAAATTTAAAAGAAATATGTCGATTGGGGGGATTCGATTCTAACAAACAGACAATCAAACACTCTAATTTGTATATGGCAATGAAGTGGGTATTGTTCAGAATTCAAATTCGACTTCGGGAGGTTGACAATAAAGCACGTACCTGGAGGGCCCTGCATGAGGGAAAATGGTTTCTTAAGTGCGTCTCTCACGGCGTCGTTTTGATACGTATTCAAAGGAACCCCTCCCGGAATTGAAAAGTGAGAGGAAGGCGGCAACTCGAAATTCCCTAAAATGAGGAGACAGATTCTTTTTGAAAGTGTTTATTATGATCGATTCTATAATATTATTTGATTATGAAATTAAAACGAACATCAATAATAATGAAGAAAAATTTAAAAAACGGTCTGGAAATGGATTTGTAGCTCACACCAATTGTATTACGTTCAACCCAATTTTTCCCGACTGAGTGGTGAGCTTGTTCAACGTGATGAACTAGAAATTATAAGAGCTCATTCTTTACGAGATATCCTTATATAATATCGGGCTAAAAGTTTTCAGTGTATAAATGAAAAATTCGTCTTCTAAAATAGCAACCAAGTTAATAAGTTGATTATCTGATGTTATGAGATTAATCCAGATCATCTGGACGGTAATGAATTTGCTAACCTTTTGGCTTCAATCCACTCTTTTCCTTAAAGTGTTCGTAATCTCAGATAAAAAATTATTTCAATTGTAAATCGAAAACGTGGAGCTAATAAAAAGGTTAATAAAGGTGTGAAGTCATACCTTTCAATATAGCGATAAAATAATTTATGCGTATTGTTAATACCGGCTTAGACTTTTAATTCTAGTTATCTATATTCTTCTTACCCTGACTAGGCTCATGCCCCAAGCATATCGCCTCGACTACTTCGGGAGCATTTTTAAGCCCCCGACTGAGGACTGCAGACATTCGTCTAGAGAAAAGAAAGTAAACTAAGTCGTTAGTGGAGCACAAAAGAACCAAAATAGAAAAAGACAGATGAGCAAGTACTAAATTCATGAATGCTTAATTTTCCTCGAGTTTCTTAAATAATTATGTCCCAAAAGTTTTCTCAAATAGGCAATCTGCCTTTTTTATTAGGTATGGTTGTCAGTAACTGCAGAGGATCGAGATTGGGGCTCTTTATGATCGCCAAGTTAAGGATAGGTTAGACCGACGCGGTTGTCCTTCGCGAGAAAAATTGTTAACGCGCAATTTGTATGGTAACACATGATTTTGAGTGCAATTTGGTGTTGATAAGCAAGAGTGAATGTCTTAAAGACAGTGAAATTGCACGAGCCCGTAGGGCAAATGCAATTTGCAGTCTTTGGGAAATTAACAACTGCTTATTTACGCCAAATTGCACGAGAAAGTATGTTGTTACTTGTTATAGTTTATGTGAAAAACGCATCACTGAAAGCAGCGCGCGCGCTACTTGTAATTTGCACTCGTGTTACAACTTCGCACACAGCCAATCAGACGCGCATAGTTTTTTCATGTATATTATTAGAAGCATAACCACCAGTAACAATATAACAATGGATAGGTTATGAAATGCATTATCTAGCAGAAATTGTTCCGTTTTATACTGACATAATTCTAAATCGACTGAGATGCGACATTTATAAATAGACGATCTTTCTCTAAATGAATTAATTAGGTATCAAATTTGACCGCTTAAATTAAACTTCCGCACAATTTCAATCCTGAGGGGGTTGATCTTCAAAACCGTTTGGGAGTTTTTCGATATTCTTCTCGGTAGCTCTACAATTTAGCTGTCGAATTTGCTAATCAGAATTTTACAGATGCGCATTACGTCGAAGGCCATTGCGAGCGATCCATTTAAAAAAAAAGGGAATACACGGTCATTTAGGTTAGTATTTTGGCAGTCAAATTTCAATGCCATCCATAAAGTTTACATAACTGATATAATGATTCGTTCAAAGAAGGCATATTTGCCTCATAACGAAGTAGGTTTTTAGATGCTTATCGTGTTCCAAAACTTCTTTGGCGCTGGCTGTGGCCAAATTGCTCGATGACACGGTCGTTGCCTTATAATGACAAAGGGACGATGATGATCAGGGAGGAGAATGGTTGGGAATGTCAGCACTTCTAGTGGTTATCAGAGAACTAGCTATACGAGTCGCATGATAAAAGATTACATTCTGGACATAGCTATTTTTATTTATTACCTGTGGATAGGAGGTCGATGAATAATTGTTAACGTACTCAGGCGTTGAATATCTCCAATCAACAGCTCTTTGGGAAATTCTGACGCTGCCTGACAGAGATTTATCCTCACTGACACTATTTTCGATTCCTCACTTAATCGAGCTTCCCTAATAATACAGTGTCCCACCCAAATACTTGACCTAGAACTGCGACTCGAGTTGCTCTCTAAGGATGGGGTGCTTTTTAACTGCGTCATGGCGAGTTCCCCTTCGTTTTCTAGATCTAAATCCATCTTAATGGAGATAAACATAATTGCCGTTAGGTTCGAATACAACAATCACTTTTCATTTCATATTTCAGCAGATGTAGTGGGTACAGTGTCAGTCAAATTATTTAAAGGCATTAACTATATCCCTAATTTCATGCAAGTATACTACTTATAGCCTGCAAGCAGACCACCATTACAAGCGCCTCGGCAGGAGCCTCCCTGCGCCAATTGTAAGGCTTTGAGAAAAGCGAGGCGGGGGGGGTGGGGTGCAAGGGTTCTCGTACCCTTTGGGGAAGAAAATCTCATGCTACACTTCTAATACATGAGGGCTTGCTCGTGCGCTAAGCATATTGTGTTCGTGAATATTAACTTCTCAGCGCGAAGGCCGCTTCAAAAAGAGCATTGACCAGCTTTACAGGTAGGCTTTCAATTCTCTAGCTTTTCATTACATTTGCTTCCACGAAGCGGAGAAGGGTGTTCATATCAGTAACCGTCTTACAACTTTACTGTTTGCTGACAAAATGGTCAACAGCCTCCGGACTAATGGTAATGCTAATAGCAGAGATTTCTTATTGATGATAAAATTCAAACGCTTGGTTACTCGTTTGGAAGTTTCTTTGCAAAGAGTGAGATCATTTGCAGGTTTTATTGTCGCATTTTTCAGATGTAAATTTTGAATTTTCCGGCTTCCCAGGACAAAAAACAACGATTTGACCATTTTCATGGAACGGTCCGTATGTCAAAATTCCACCAAGGAAGAACCAATCAGATCGTGATCACCGAATATTCATTAAGCGTGCTTTGGACGGGTTGTAATTGACCGATAGGGGCGTTATGCGGGTTAGGTAGTTGCAGCCATTGAGGTGAGCCTTGAAAACCTCGAAGCACTAGGAATTGAAACTCATCCAAAAATGCTTATATTTTGTTGTTTTTAAATGATAGAATCTTTAAGGGGAGGTTTCGTTCCACTGAAAGTTTCATATCCAATCATTTTAGCTTTCATCATTGGAAACTGGTATCTCAAACTATCTCTCTTCCTTGCCTCGCAGATGCGCTCGTTCCCTACCGTGGACAAAAATTTCAATCGGCTTGGTGACAACTGATGCAATTATTTTCCACAAAAGATCTCACCTCGGTACAGACGCTGATGGCTTAAACTGAAAGAACTGATCAGAAGTCTCAAACTGTTCCATATAAAGCTGAGAATTCAGTAAAAGTACATATGCAAGCTACATGATATTATTTTATTGCTGAAAATAAATGACTATGTATTTACCTCTGCTTTGTTCCCCTCACTTGTTACGAAGCTTGATTTAGCCATGTACGTCTCTTCCTCCACCCTGACACAAACAAAATCCCCTTCATGAATATTGATATGACGGCTTTTGCAATACTCACTTAAAAGGCTGAAAAAGCCTTCTTGGTTTCCACTGCTATTCATCTTCCACCTGACATCCAAATTGTGTATGGTTAATTCATCGTTCTCGTTCACAGCCACTGTTGCAGCTTCCAAATCAAGTACGGGTTCCCAGGCTGCGATGTAATCAGCTAAAGTCGAGTACTTCCCAGAGATTTGATAGCATGGTGCGTTAGTAAAACATTCCCTTGGATATTTGCGGTGCTCGACGCAAATGTGGACACCAGGGGTAATCTTGAAGAGTTGAATTTCTGGGTGGAAAACCCCGTGTGTCATATGTGCAGTGAGCTGAATATTTACAGTATCAAATTTCTTCAGAGAAATCTGTTTCTCATGGGTATGCTCCATATTTGACCCAAGTTTTCCACCATTGTGAAAGGTATTCTGTTCTTGGGGTCTGGTAAGCTGATCCATCTCTCTAATTAGCAAGGTAACGAGTTCAAAGTTTTCTTGTTGAAGTGCTTTCAAAAGCTTTTCCCACCTTTCTCCTGGAAAGTAATAGACTTCCCGTTCTGGTAATTCCTGAGATAAAAGAATGGAAACCTTTTCTCTTTCACGATCAAGTTTCTCCGTGATGTTTCCCTCCGGAGCAATGTAAAGTCTCAGCTTCCAAGTAAGTACAATTTCCTCGGAGCCACCATGCTTAGCACTAAATGGTTGTAAAGTGCTCAGTTTGATTTCTCTCTGTCTTTTCGCGACCTGATCGTATTCCTGTTTTGTAATTTCCAGCCTTATTTTCCTATCTTCGATCGTCGAAACGACTGCTGTTGTCTCGTGGCTTTTTTCCCTGAGTTTTGCTGCCAGGTGAACCTCATTACATGCCTTTTTGAAGAGTTTGGAATTCGCACTAGCGAACGTGGAACGACGACAGATCTCAGCGACTCGATCCGTCGAGGGTGCTACCGTGCTACGCTCAGATATCAAATTCAAGACGAGTCTGTGTACCACTATGTCAATGTATCGTCGAATAGGTGACGTGAAGTGTGTATAGAGGTCCATTCTCTGAGAGAAGTGGCAAGGCATCCCCTTCGCTTCATCTGGATCTCCTTCGCAGACGTATCGAGCCTTCTGTTTAATACACTCAAATTGCCTTTTGGCGATGGCCAACTGAGAGTGATCCTTCTCATTGAAAGTCAGCTGGCGAAGCTTGACTTTGTCTAGTGATTCTGCAGCACTAAAAAGATCAAACCACACGGACTTTTGCACCATGAGTTTTGGCAATTCTGAAATGCCCTCATCTTTTGTCATTCTCTGCAGTTCTTCATCAGAATAAACGGCGTGTGGAAACAAGGACAACTTTATGAATTTCCCGAATTGTTTGAGCCAGCTACTTAATCTGTGCTCTTTGGGGGGAAGTTGGGTCCGCAAAGGTGTTATCATTCTATATTGTGAATAGAGAAATTTAGCTATTTCCTTATTGGTGGCAATCATCATTTCCTCCACAAGCTCATGTGCTTCGTAATCTCCTGGCTCGTCTTTATTTGACCAATGATCAGAGGCTGCCTCTCGAAGTCTCCACTTCCTCATTTTTTGTGCGAGGTCACTAAGCTGTCGGATCTTATCCACAGTGTCCTTTGGCACGTTCAGGAATGAGCAATCCTGACCATTAATAACTTGTTGGGCTTGAGGGTAAGTGAGCTGACAAGTGGACTTGACAATTGTTTCTTTTATGTCAGGGTTTCCCACCTGACTTCCATCCTCTGCCATGTTAAAAAAAACTGACAAACACAAACAGCTTTTATTGTGAAGAAGGCTGCAATGGTTTTCACTCAACTCTCGTGGTAGCATCGGAACACTATCATAGCCATGTCCGGGGTAGTAAGAGGAGCAACGCAATAACGCCTCTTCATCCAAAGGAGTGTCAGGCTGCACAAAGTAACTTACGTCAGCGACGTGAACTCCGACACGATATACTCCTGAGTGTTCAAGCTTTTCTACGGAAAGTGCATCATCAAGATCTTTGGAATTCTCAGGATCAATCGTAAACGCTCCATCAATTTTCAAACGTCTCTGCTCCTCATCAGGTGGGATTGACCAAGATGGTGGAAAATGCCTTTTCACTTGTTCGTCACACTTTCCATTGAACAACTTTCTAATGCAATGCTCTGCAAACAGAATTTCCATGTTATTCTCCAAGGTAGGCTGCTGCGGCAGTTCTCTGATTATTGTGCCCAATGGATAATTGCGACCTGCTATCCATTTAACAAACTGAACCAGAAACATGCACTCTTCTTCTGATAAATCTTTACGTTCCACTCCATTTTCACTTGCTCTCTGTTTACCTTGCCTTTTTGCGGCGATGGATCCTTTTTCAGCTCTTGCTGAATTTGGTATTAAAATTTTCGGTGCGGACTTATTGATTGGAATCATTACGTCAGTGTTCTCGGGATCGATCCTGCACACAAACTGTCGTTCATTATGGCTGATTATGGGTTGCATCACACCTATAGTCAAGAGGTTATAGGTATGATTAGCAACAATTCGTATCAGTAGGTTGCATTTTCTACAGTCAGAAAAGCCCTTAAAGGATTTTGAGCAAGCTCTTCCTATCAAAGATTCATTTGAGCGGCAAAAACTTGAAGGTAGACAACCCGCCCCCTATACCTGCCAATATTTATTAGCCTGGGGGTTAACCCCAACATTACAGAGCACGTACATCTTGAATACTTTATCTTTTAGCAACTTGTTACACCATCTGGCACAAATACTTTGAAACATTGTGCCACTTACCTACAAATTTTCCTCGGGAACTGGGAAGACCATCACTTGAAATAGACAGCTTATTTAGTACTTTAACGACAACTTGGTCCATGTCGAATGCTCCTTTGACTCGTCCATTGATTTTGATATCTGGGGTAATCGTATCTGATACAACGGCAAATGACAGGTGACCTGCCTTGGAATTAAGTTGAAGTGTGGCACGACGATACGTGGAAGGTTGTTCCCGTATCAATTTCCGCAGACGCTCCAAGTCAGGAAATTTTTCTTGCGTGACGGATTGTGTTAGCCTTTTTCGTCGATCAGACAGCGTTGTCTTAAATCCAACATCTACGATGCGAACCTTCGGATGGCCGTTGATATATTTAACGTCGTAAATAGGATGAGAAAATTTGGAAAGATCTAATTTCCCTTTCCGACTTTCATTTGAAGGTTCTTTGACTTGGGACTTACGTCGGGACGCTGGTGAAGCTTCCTGGGGTAATGGGTATTCTCCACTTTGTGAAAAGTGCTGACGTTTTTTTGCTTTGGTTTCTTCAGTCCACTGCAAGAATTCCTTGATAATATTGTAGAATATATACTTTTCTTCATTTTCAAAACGCTCCATACAAAATTCCTCTAATAGTTCCAAAGTCTCTTGATCGATTTTGTCTTCTTCCTCCGACTTATAAGCACCTTGGTTATCGCGATGCAACGAACATACGTCTTGATTCTCAAACAAGCCACCATGCGGAACATTTTCACAGGATAGAATGTTCTCTTCTCTCTTTTCTCCATCTTCTCGCCAAACTACCCCTGAATCCACATGATTTTCTTTGCCATCTATTTCATTTCTTGATCCGTTCTCTGTTCCTGGGTCATCGAACCGATCCTTTATTGTTTTTACGCCAGTGCATTTTTCTTTAGTCCCTGATACTTCTCGTTTTCTATATTCCTCATCCATCTAAGTTTGGTAAAAACAGAATTAAACGATGACATTAACCAAAATATAAACGTATAACCAAACAGATAAAAATCCATAATAAAACAGGGACTTATATTAGGCTCTGAGGTAAATGACGCTTAAATTTACTGCATTATATATACACCCGTTTTTGCTGGCGGTTTGCGGAGGGTGAGTTTGCTGTTGCTCTCCGTCTAGATGGTGAAGCGAATGGGAGGCTGTTGGTGGTTCAAACGCTTTAGGAAGCTTTCTACGTTGTAACGGGTCAAGTTGGTACATATGTCGTCTACGTCGCGTTTACAGATCCTGGGTTTTTAGGTTGATGATGTTACTGCTTGTTCTTCAAAACTCTCCATGCAGAGGTTAGCAATAACAGCGGAAACCGAGCTCTCCATAATTGCGCCTCCTTTCTGTTCGTAAATTGATCCATTGTACTGGAAGTACGTAGATTACTCAGAAAATCGATTAGACTGACGCAGAGAATTAAAGAAAATTCGGAGGAGACAGTCTACGGCTCAAAGGGTTCTATTGAAACTCTTGCCGGACGACGCTAGCAGGATACTGGAACAGATCAAGCCAAGTCTTCAACACCACCAAAGGAAGACAGCAGAAAACGTTCGAGAAACTTTGCAGGAAAAACAGGTGGCTGTCTCACCAACTAACACACCGCATGTTGACAAAACTAACTGATATGCTAATCTATCTTTCAGGTCCCTTAGCGACTCCGAGACTGCCCAACTGAAGAAAGGACTAAACTTCGCCGTAACTCATAATAACACACTTCCTGCAGAGATTATTGTCAAGTTGAATCAGTGATCAGACCACTCATCCCGAACAAGCAAACACTGTTAAAAGAGCTGTTTACGGAATCCTTCAACAAGCAAAACCGCCAGAGCTTAACATCACGAAGGAAATACGGAATGCACTTAACCGACCAAAAGAGGACCTTTCCATCAAGGTTCTACAACAGACAGAGGACGCGCCAGTGTAATATTAGACGCCGACTCCTACCAGGCCAAAATGTCCTCCCTGATCGAAAACGGACCGTATCAACGCTTGAGCAAAGATCCGACAGACCTTCTGACGAGGAAGCAGTCTGAAAAATTGTTAACCCCGAAACGAAGCGGACATCTATCAAAGGCCCCCTAGAATTTGCGGTTTACTGAAGATTCATAAAGCCGATATACCTCTGAGACCGGTTGTGTCATGCGCGAACACCTTTGCATGTGATTTGCCGCTTATCTGGCTAATATCCTGTCTCCACTAATAGATAATTCAGATTTTACAGTGTCTAATCTAGCCCACTTTGCATCTACCATCATTTGAGCTTTCTTGAATCCTTTCGCCGCTGATGGTAGATACTAAGTGGGCTCAGTTGAGCAGACCTGAAAGTCAATGATAAAGTGATGCTGGTGATAATAATAGTGATTATCATATGAATTATGGTGTTATACAAGGATTTCCAGCCCTGAGAAAAGCCGTAACAAGACACGTGAAAAAATACGATACTTTTCACTTGCGTCTGATATAATCATCAGCTGCTGACAGGTCGCTCGCCTTTCGTGCCACTCGGTCAACTTGATGAATGAACGGTAAAGCCTTCACGATTCTCAATACAAGGTAGTTTGTCGGAACTTTCTCGGATTATAGCGGCTAAAACACTAAAAGACAGTAACGTTCAAGATTTCCAAGAAGAGAAAGAAAACCAATCTACGAAAAGAAAAACCGAAAGTTTTGTATTCAATGGCTTTGGTATTGGCATTTCTGGCGGCTGAGAACGAAAATCGACCACTGGAAGATTTGCCACTTGTCAATTTTGGCCATTTACTGGAAATACTTCTTTTGTCGGTAAGGACAAAGTCAATAAATGAGAATATTATAAATTGAAAATTACTGCTATTGTACGTAGTTTCTGTAATCGTGCTTCAACGCCATTTTCCATCTTGAGCCTTAGCGCTAACGAACTGTACGATTTTCGATTCTTTTATTTTCATTCATCAATGAAGTTGGCTTTTCTTGTCATTAAAGGGCTATTGTGTCTATATAATAAACAAAAGTGTTGAACTCCAAGAGAAATTCCATACCTACGCGCGCCCATGTATTATTCTCTTTTTGTAATAAAGACACTGAGAACATTGGCTAGTCAGTCATCTTTTCCAAACAACTCATTTTCAACTCATTTTCATTGCTTGTTTAAAATTACTTCTCTTCGTACCTGGCTGCTTGTCGTGACTCTATTCCTTTTCCCTTTTCCACTATTTGGTTCTTCCTCACAGTCACTTTTCTTGTCTTCACTCTTATACTCCTTACATGATCTAAGTTCCTCGTTACCGTGAGGAATGTTTAAAGTGCCACCTTTGCGAAGAACGACGTTTCGCTCCTCAGTCTCGACAAATGACCCTGCTTTCTTCAAAAGGCTGGATTTCTTCTCCTGTTCAATTTTATCATCCTTATCCCTGGTTCTTCTGGGTGCTGCGATCAATTTCCGTTGTTTAGGTATTGCACCTGATGCAACATCTGCTGTGGAGATCCAGTGAATAAACGTATTCAGCTTTGAAGCACATTGTCTGAGACTGTCGTGTCATGCAACTCGTGACGATACATGTACAATTTTTTTGTAAGTCTAATACTGGTAAATACTTTAAATTTAGGCAAATTTCTACTTCAGTCGAGTATTTTTTTAGTTTTTGAAAGGATATTAAATTGTTAGATATCTAGAGCGTTCGCAGTGAAATGAATTTTCTAATCTATGTTCAACACTTGATGGTTTCAGTCACTTGCATGTTACTATTTATAATCAATGCGGGACAATGATCATCATCAATTACGGGAAATAGTTATAGATATATAGTTCTCGATAGTTTTTACATTTATGGTACAACCTATGAAGAGGAAAAAATTCGTCAACAAAACTGAGCCTACCAGCCTGTTTATCGTTTTTCTCCGTCTTGTAGCATGTCGCTTCCATGGCTTGAGTGTAACAGAAAAATAGCGATTAAAAATCAGTATTTCAAAGAAATGCAATAAGATTATCAATAATTGTACACAGCTTGTAAATGAGTAGTGTGAAAGTAACGAAGGGAAGAAAAACTAAAAAGAAATCAGAATTATGCCTTTACTCCCAAAAACCAGTATACATATTTATATACCGTTCTCTGCACACTTCTTGAAGTACTGACAAGGAGAATTTGCTTAATAATCAAGGGCCTCTTTACTAAGTGATGATTTCCTTTATTCTTGCGACCTAAATGTTTGATTCAGGGATGAGACTGTCAGGAGAAGTTAGATGCTAGTCACTCTTAATGATTGAAGGGTTCAACGTAAATTGAGCATATTGCACTTTAAAATGGATACGGCAAAGCGATTACTTCTCCCTGCCCCATTCGAGCCAAAATCAACAGAAATTGATCATGTTAAGAAGGTAACACAATTATCGATATGTTTTTTCTCACAAATTCTCGTTCCGATTTAGGCTCGATAACTTATGCAACTCGCTAGAGCACTGCACAGATATTCAATCCTCTTCAAAACTATCTCGCTTTGACAACTGTGGTTATCTGTTACTCAGTTCAGTAGCAAAGAAAAACCAAAGTGCAGCCGTAAAAAATTTTGAATAGTGTTAAATCTTTGTGCCTGAACCAAAAATTTGCATAACTAATACCTGATACTACATCGTAAGTGGGAAGTACCCGTTGTCTAACTAACTTCTCATTATCCTGCAATGAAAAATTCATCTAAAGTAAGTTGCAAATTGGTCCCCATACCCTTTGCTTAACAAATAGAGAAGCCTTTACTAATTTTTTTTTGTAAAGCACGCAGGAAATGGCTCGAGCACGAATGAATGACAACGCCATAAAACTCGGCTGCTGTGACTGATGTCCCCTTCCACTCAACGGATCAGAGAGGGTATCAGAGCCAGTTCTTAGTTGTTCAATCGAGCGGCGGCTGCTGTAATTTTTGAGTCTTGCTTCACAACGATGACCGGAGATCGCTGTGATGAGCTAGCCTTGATGGACCTTAGCATGATCGCAGTCACTCTGAATTCGTCATGATTAGTATGGATTTCAACAGCTAGAGTTTTGCTATATTTTTAATTATTCCTGCTTTGTTCAGTTTTTTTTTAACACGAAACTATACATACAATACGAGTGTTAGCTGTGTTTGATTGTTATTACCGTACGTAAGCTTGCAATCTAACTGAGCCCGAAAACCTTCAAACCTCGGACTGTCCATTTCGTTTTCTCTTTGAGGATTCTCGTCTCTGCTCGAACCTTTTTTTAGTTCTTCTGTTGCTAATTGTCGGCTCGCTTGTTCCGAAATTTCACATTCAATTAAGGAAAAAAGCTAGAGGGAAGTCCCGGAAAAGGTCGGACATGGTACAATTTGGCAGAGGGCGTGACAGCTTTAGCTTAGCTCTCTGTGCTGTGTACTCTGATAAAGCATGCTCGTTCAACCAATGACAACGCGTTGCATCCGAACTTTATCATAGAAGAAGATAAGTTCAGGGCAAGGATGAAACAAAAGGAAATAAGACATGTACATAACCAGGCAATCATCAATTATAACCTGTAATGATGGTGAATGTGTTTCCCCAACTCACCTCCTCTTTCTTCTGTTCTTTTTCCCGATCTTTCTCCATTTTAAGTTTTTGTTCCTCAACCATTTTCTCCACTTCCTATGGAAAATAATTTAATTGATCAATCAATAAATCTGCAAGTAACTCTGTCAACCATTAATTTTAATTATTTTCTTTCAGCACCGTACATGCTTGAGAAAACACTAGTAATTTGGATACATTTTTCATCTGAAAAGATGAGCACGTACCGCACACGGAGGTCTTACGCTCCATAAGAACAAAGATTGTGGTGTGGATCTAAAGAAGAACTACTTACTTTCATTCGCCGGTATTCCTCACTTTTTTTCTGCTTATTGCTCTTAACCTGCATAACAAAGGAATATGTCATTTATGAGACGTCCCCAATGAGCTAGAGCCCTCATTTGATAATGGGGGCTCCTCTTCCAAGGTACTTCTTAAATCTCGAAATTGTATGGGGCTGCATGAAACGTACCGATTTCTTTTCAGGAATATCCGGCTCAGGTGCTGACACTTTCATTTTCTGAAAAGACAATATAGCTAAAAGTGAGATGTCATAACTGATCATTATTCGACCTATGCATGATCACTAGGTGAAAACAAGTGACTTTTTTACTTTGTCGAGGAAGAGTTGTATTCGTGTATTTTTTGAGATTCACAGTCAACGATCTGTGGAGTATTATTTATCTAAATTTTGATATTTAGTATTAAGGTAAAGTGTTCGAAAAAACGGTAATTTTCTTTCTGCAGATAGAAAGGAAGCAGGAACAAATTGGCTACATAGAAGGAGGGTTTTACTGCGTAATTAATCACGACTGCAGACTTCTTCTTGACCTTGACCTTTCTTTTTCCACTCTGTTTCTGAGTTATTGTATCCATAGGGCCTGTTGTATCATCATCAATAGGGTTGTTTTCTAAGACTAACACAATAATTATGTTTTAGCAAACGCAGTTCCAAGGGGATTGATGTCTGTTTGTGAAACTACTCAAAGGTTGGGGGATTTATGACTGTTGTGAAACTACTGTAAGAAATCCTGGCGTATGTTTGGTAGAATTCTCATTTCATTTTTACTCTGCAAAGACCAACAATTCCAAAACTTTAAATCTGTGAAGTTAAACTCTTCATTTATAAAACACGTAGATGATATTACAACTTTCTTCACGGTTTTCCTGTTATCGAATATAATCCCAAGCCTAATAGACACATGTCAGGATCTTCATCGACACATGTAAAATTTTGAAAACATGAATATAACAGTGAAGGACTGCAAATAGATATCATAGGGGAAAAAAAAAAACTCCAATATACTAGTAAAGTCGCATACCTTCACTGCAGTTTCGCTTTGTTTCGAAGTTATCATTCTTGTTGATATGTAAAAAGAAGAAGAATAAACATTAAAAAAAACAAACGAACAAACAAAAAAAATGTTTGCAAATTTGAGGCATGGTACCTTAGAGTACTAGTTCAGCTGTATTGGATATCGGTCTTTTCAGTCAGAAAAAATATGTGCTTGAGTCAAACATGTTTAATCCAATAAAAATTTTTATCTCCAGATCCTACTTAATCCAGATTACTATCGATTAGAAAAAATAATTTATTTCCTCTAGAAAGAGAGCACGTGGTCGAGTGTACATGCTTAAATTTCATTTTCATAATTTTTAATAACATAAATTTGATAATGATCCAACATATTGGTCTTTTTTGTAATATTCGTTGCGAAACGACGGATAACGATTGCTAACGGTCGTTGAGATATTATGTATATCAATCTGAGAGAAGACCGTATTTTACAGATATTGTAAAGCTGATTTCACCGAGCTTTTCCCAAATCCGTTTAAACTCTTATGAAGTAGAGGTAATAGTAAGGGTTCTCCCAAGGCAGTGTCCGGAACCGTTGCTTAAGTGAAGGTCAAAACATACAAAAAGCTAAGTCTTACTAATGCCGCTTCTACTTGTCCCTCATCGTTCTGGTTCCTGTACATGATTGATGATGGTCATAACAATGAACAAATAATCAAAACAAAACACAAATGTAAAGATAGGCAAATAGACGGATATCAACTGACTGATTATCTAACTAACTGGGGACATGCAGTACAAACGGACTGACCGAATGTTTGACTGATTGAACGAACGATTGATTGACTAAATGGATAGACGATTAAATGAATGGATGGAAGGAAACAATGTAAACAAGAATTAATGGCTATTAGAAGAGTAAATAATTAAATAAAAGAGTGAATGAATGAATGAATAATGAATGAATGAATGAATGGATGGATGGATGAATAAGTAAATATACTGTTGAATAGACGCATGGATAGATAGATATAGATGGAAAGTAAAGCAACTTTGCTTAGCCAAAAAGTACACCGAATTGCGCTTCAATTTGTTGTTCCCAAATGCTGCAAATTATTACGACTAAGACTTTAAGGGGTGTACAGATTTCTATTTGCACAATAAATATGAAAGTCACCGAACATTTCACTTTCAGATTCTCTGTTACAAACTAGAAAAATTCAGGTAAACGTGTTAAATTCGACCTGCCAAACTATTTCAGTTTGGAAACTATTGCAGATTGAGAACTTTAATGGCTAGGAACTTTGAAGGTTTGACACTTCTGACGGCTTTTGTCTTGTTCAGCCAATAATATCATATCTAACTGATTGGCTTATTTTAGCGTGCTTTATGAGAGTATAGAGCATGCTAGTGACACTGTTGCTCGCTTTGGAGATGAAGTCTGTCTCAAGAAGTAGGTAGAAACACTTCTTTCGTACCCTAGCCGCTTCCTATGCGCTTTACAACAGAATAGAGCACAGACAAGGCTTCTATATTTGTTAGGTAGAGTAAATTAAACCAAGCAGTTCAGGGTTAAAACAATAAAATGGTAAAGAAGGTAAAATTTTTCGTCTAGATTTTTGTTATAATTTGGTTTTGGCTTTAAAAAACAGCTTGGTAAACCTGAGGAATCTGTCTCTATGTACGAGATCACATCGAATAATACTGTGTCACTAAAAAAATTGGAAACACGGTAGAAATTAACTTATTTTTCCAATATTCACGTGTCATTGCCTGGGCGAGCTAATAAACCAATAGCCTTCCCTGGTCAATCTCACAATCGGTTAACCTGAAATAAATTTATTAACCGCTGAGGTGCACTCCTCAATAAAATTATTTGCATGACTTGCATTTTGGCAGTAACAACTATAACTGTTCTTAGAGTTTAGAATTTGCGGCCTGCTATGCTACCAAAAACATAGGTTGCATCAATCTCTTTTTTCATCGATAGTTTTCACTGGAGGAGATTCAATGAAATTAAAAAGGAAGTGTTATTGTTCAAAACTATGCAAATCTTTCCAGCTTTCATGATAGCAACTTCTCTCCTCTTTTCCTTTTAAACATTTTCTCTTGAATAGAACACTTCGTCCTCAAGTAAACTCAGGGATTAATACACTCAGATTTCCATGAAATGGATGAAAAAAATCTATTTCACAATTTGTAGGACCAATCAACAATTAACTCAGAATATGTTCACACCAAAAGCAATATATATCTTAGCTAAATTGGACATTTTTTGAACAAAATTCTTAATCATCAATTAAGACCTTCTATATTATACAGACTATGCCATCATTCACAGTCGTAATTTATATATATTATACAACCTCTGCAACTTAAATCTTGCTGTCCAGCAATCAATATGAAGAGTGTTCAATCAGTTGCTTAAGTTGGTTTTTCAAACTCTTTACAGTGGCTAATTTACCTCATCAACGCACTTTTTTCGGAAGCCGTTAAAAAGGTTGAGCCCGCGTAACCATATCGCGGAGATAGGGTGGTTACCAAGCGCTGCCCATCAACCAAGCTTCCCGATCAAGCTTCACAACGAGACGGACTCGTAATACAGAAATTAAATGACTATTTGTAACAGCTCATACCTCCAGATAAGTCTCTCGCCCCCATAGTTATCTATTTTTTTGTTTTGAGTTTTCGTACGAATTGTTAATGTAAGTTATCGTGGCTATGAGATCGTTTTTCGTTTTCCCAAGGAATCGTTCATGCACATACTCCACTCAGGTGTAATGTAGCAAAGCATAACAGACTACATCAGATATTTAGCTGTATATATCAAAGTTACTGGCAATAAACGTTTACTTCATAAAATGCCTCTGAGTCCCACTAATTTCCTGCGCGAATTATGCATGATTGAACGCGACGTGAAGTGAATGTAGATGTAAACACTGCAAGGATGAGAAAAAAGAAACTGAAACGTCTCATTTTACTCCTTTAATCTGCACACATGTTTCAATTTTACGTTCTGGGTTAAGCGAGCAGTAAATTGCTACAAGCTCTTGAGTACATAAACATAAAAGTGCGAAAATTAAAAAAAAAATTGGGATGGCTGTGTAGAATTTCTTTGAGTGTGACACTGTTTAAGTTGTTACATCACGGTCTGACTCGTTATCTAGTTTAGTTAGGAAAAAGTAATTCTTAATGAATTCTTTGACGAAGTAAGGGTTCCAAATCAATGAAAATTATGTTAGTGTCTTAAATTTAGAACTCAGAATTTGATCTTTTTCTAACTCAAGAGTTTTCACAATTAGTGTCATTAGTACACTGGACATGGTTTTCCAGGGTATTCCATGGTGAGGAGTTATATATTTTGATGAAACCTACCCTGAGTTGTTGGATTACTTAAATCAATTTTACTTTTCTCGAATATATCAGCCTTTACATTAAACAGTTAGATAATTTTGGTAATGAATGTCTTTTGGTGTGACATGGTTGACTGTGAACCATGGTTACTAGCTAAATGTAAGCATGGTCAGAAACCATGGTCACCATCATTGTTAAACGTGGTTGACAATATTAGACACTGAAAAACCATGTTATCATGGTCAACCTGATGGTGGGGTTGTCAACATTTAAGAGAAAGGTTAACGAGTACTGAATTATTTATTGATGATTGATGCAACTAGCTTAAGAACCTATTGCAAATTCGATCAAAGCCAGTTGCTTTAAAACACTTTAACTTCAAAACGCCAGTGGGTTTAACTTCAGTAAATTTCAATTAAGTCTGATTTAAGTAAATTTCAGGCTGAACTAATGAATGAAAGAATGAAAGAATGGGTATGGAGGGAAGCAAGAAAGAACGAAGAAAAGACAAAGAATAAAACGAAGTAACGAGGAAACAAAAAATCGAACAAACTGAGGTACAGATGTACGAACAAATGGATTATTGAACTCACCCCTCCCTCTCCTTCTCTGCCATAGCAGCACCTCAAGGACACCACCCCAAACGTCTTGCAAATTTATCTATAACTAGCAAAGTAAAAAAGATGCATATGATTGTTTAAAAATGAGGATTACGGTAATAGAGACGCTTTTTACCTGTTTTAATTCTGTTTTGATTAATCAAGTTTTTCCTACTTAGTTTTCACTCTAATTATTGAAAGAATGATTAGCTAAAAAATGATACCATATTTGTTCTTTGAGGAGAGAATGATGCTGACCTCAAATTTTGGTCACTGATCTCAATGTTATTGCACTCGCCCAAGCAAAGGCATATTTTAAAAGCATGAAGGTGAACACACATATTCTCATGCTCTCTAAAAAGCAAGATGAAAATGACTGACGTTGTGACTTATTTTTATCAATGTTTATTTAAAATCTATTGCCATGAAAGGCTTCGAAGGAGAGAAATTTCAAAACGTCCTATCTCTTTTACGAAGCTGGTTATGCCACGTCGTTAAAGGTCACAATCTAGCGGTCGCGGTCAATTTCATATTCTACAAGTCGATTTTTGCCTCGAAATATATTTTTTACGTAGTGAAAGGGTAATAACAGAGCACTGCGATATCAAACCAGAGGGTCTAAGGTTTATATGCTTTCAGAGTATTTTCTTGCGAAACGTCAACCTTCT